AAATCCAACCAAAAACTAGTACCTGATGCTTTAAGTATAAGTGCGGTATGTAGTATATTAATAAGTCATTGTAAACACTAGGAGTCTCACTGTAAACATTACTACCGAAATGATGACTTGTACAGGTGAGAATTACCAAGCTTAGAGAGATACACATTCAGTATTTCACTACCATCCACTGTCAAAAGTCTATTCATCATGTCAATATAAATATTATTGATTTGTTAGCTAAATAATGTCATCTCATGACAATGATTGATGTATCCTAGTGTTGATCATGAGCAACACACAAAGGTACAGACCTTTAAAAATAATAACAAAATTTTATACAAGCCTTGACATTCATTTCAATACTACAGATTTTTAATTGATTTTTCGAATCATGCCAATATTACTAAAATTGATATTATATATATATATATATATATATATATATATATATATATATATATATATATATATATATATATATATATATATATATATTAACTAGAGAGCTTCAGGAAAGCTTCACATACTCAAGTTTCTTTTTCTGACTTCCTGTTCAAAGTAGAGATGCTCTTTCACTCAATCTACTTTTGGATCTTATTCTCTTGCTAGTTATATCAACGCATTATAACAAACCAATGTTAAATTCAGTGAGAGGGAAACAGGAGATTATAATCTCGAATTAAGAATGTTTCAATCTGTTTCCAACGATTATTTAAACTTCACTTAGGAGTCTATCCAGATGAATAATTGTCAAGTGATTAAACTCGATTTCGCCTTTTTTATTCGATAACCTATTATAAAGGTTCAGCATTCATCCGTTTATAAAATATATGATTTGACCAAGTTTTTAAGTTCAACACAAACGTTGAAAACGGTAATTTCATCAATTATAACTTGGTAGGTAATCGCATTACCAGAGGTTTAACTTGATAATTTCAAATGAATTAAGCATTTGGTAGAGTATTGATAAATAAAAATATTATATTTGTAATATCTCACTGAGATACTACGATTAAATGTTGAATTTATGATTAGGCAACGAAAACTGTTTTTATTCTGATTACTTTGTGGACAATTAACGAGATTTCTTTGTAAACATCATTATATAAATAATGAGCATTCAATCAATGAATTTATTTATCCACCAATACACTTTTCTATCCATAGCAAAGCTTTAAAAGAAAAGCATATCAAATTTGTCTCATAAACAGATTTTTCAGAAAGAATTCGAATACCATAATATGTATATTATTCAATGTACCGTGTATCGTTCGTTATCAAACAAATGATAAAAAGATGAAATTTTAAACAACAACTTGATTACTGTATTTATATTGATGTATATATATATATATATATAAATATATATCGTGAACTTATAAAAATGTATGTCTATTGCATCTTTATTCCGATAGATTTATCAAATTACACTAGTAACGCATATCGACATTCTTCATGTATGTCCAATAATTCAGTAAGTTATATAAATATGACAACACATAAAAGTAGAATTTATTCTATTGAAATGTATGAATTTTTGAAGGATGACAATGACAGTATGCTAATATTCAATGTTCCTAACTTCAAGATTTTGTAGAATCGATCAGAGAACGATCTCATGTTAGTAATATATACACATCTAAGAAAAAAAATCCGTTTTGATTAAATTACACAAGTATTGCCGGTAATATAAATATTCACTGAACTCAAAGAAGGATTTCCTACTGAATAAAACTTATCAGCCTAATTGTTCGAAATAACTACAACAGTTGGTATTGATAGCATAGCCTACATCACTCGTTATATCTTTATTACTGTACTCTGTTCACAGTATCATTTCTATAAAAGTAGATGAAAATTATTTCGACTTTATGTAGTATCGGTAGCCTGAAGATAATGCGAATTTTTTCTTTATCTAAGTTTTGTAAAACGAAGCCAGTGAACAAATGCAGGAGAGAACGATCATTATACCAGCAACCTCTGCAGCAGTAGACTCTAACATACACATAGAATAAAGCTAGATCCTCCGGCACAATACAAGATGCACCGAACAAATCACAATTGAAGGAGAAGCTATGTAAGACTTGGAAACGTTCGCATACCTGGCCAGCATGATTGATAAACAAGGTTGATCTAGTGCACATGTAAATACATGGATTAGTAAAGCAAGGGCACAATTTCTACAGTCGAAAAACATCTGGAACTCAAAACAACTGTCAAATAACACGAACGTCACAATATTCAATATAAACGTCAAAAATGTTCTCTTGTATGGAGTGGTAACTTGGAGAACCACGAAAGCCATCGTCCACAAGACACAGGTGCTTGTTAAAAAATGTCCACGCTAGATACTGCTGATCGGTTGGCCAGATGCCATCAACAACAACCTACTGTGGGAGTGAACAAACGAGATTCCTGAAACCGAGCTAGAAATCAGGAAAGAGCGCTATAGGTTAGTAGGACACATTGTGGAAATCACTCAACTTTATCACGTTAAAAACTCCTGCAAGCTCAGATGAACTAATCAAATAACAATAATTCCTATAACTTCATGCATATTTATTTACAGTTACAAGCCGACCACAAAACATCATTGCAAAAGGAAAACGTTTTTACAAATTATTGACATAATCATAACTTATAAATTAATCGTTTTTCAATGAAAAATTCCACTGGTATACATTATTAAGTTACACTATTATGAAATAGGTTCAGATAGAATACTTTAGTAAACCACGGTCATTTAACAGTAAATTATCCAAACCTGATCATATGAAACTTTACGTGTCATGTTATGTGATGTAGGATGTAGTAATAGGTACTTTCTAAACTACATCTGTGTAGCTTTCTTAAGCTGACCGGTTTTCAGATGATCCTGAATATTTTTCGAGCATAAAACATATTCAGAATCTCATTAAATCTGTTCAATTAATTTACAAACAATGTTCTATCTTCTTCATTTAATGAAGGATTGCATAAATGTATCAAAACAACTGATTCATTACGGTAATAATTGTTGAACAGATTCAAGTATCATTACTATTTTATCTAATCCCGAGTTAAGGCACGACTCATGTAAGCTCTTATCCCGATAACTATTTATGTGTCATTGTGTAAAATACTTTTCTACATCAATTTGATCTGCACAAATATACAGACCAGTGACAGACAAATAAATTCTATCATTTTAGGAGGATAAAAATATATCGAATATTCATTTGGGAATGTGATCATTATTCAATAATTTTAAAATTAAACATTACATCGGAAATGGGTTAGGTAAATCATCATTGATATTGATATAAGCGAATAAATCAGATAATCATAACCCATGAATAGACGATATAATTTTTCTTCTAAAATAGTAGTATATATGTAATATGTTGCATTAAACGTATCTACATAAAATTTTGCATAAATATTCTATCTAACATCATCAGTGTCATCAGATTTTTGTGAATTTGAACGTTTACTATTTCAGCATAATCGATTGTTTATTTCTTCATTCCAGAGAAAAAATAATAAATACTAAACTAAAATTTTTAAAATTTTCCAATAATCTTTCATCTTGGCACATATGTAATCATAACATATTACCAGTGAAACATAATAGTATGCACTGAATAATGATCTATTTTAAACTATTTAGAATAAAAAAAAACATTTTGTTATTTTTAATAGAAAATAGTTAAAAAAGAATATTTTGTCTCTGCAGGGATTATATGTCAATCAATGTTATCTTAACAAAATAATTTAATATGCGCATAATAGAAGTTTCCTGAATAATAAATAATGCCATTTTGAATGAAATAGTAAGGGCTATACTTTATGAAATCCATTATTTAGATTTTAAATTTACTCAAACGCTTTGAGATATTGAATTTTGGTTGTAATATTCTGAATAGCTACTCTGTAGTTTTGTAAAAGTTTAACTAAACTCATCGACCAATAATTTGTCAAGTCAACATAACAACTACTATATAGTTCAGTTTAAGCATTCCAAAGAAACTGTAAATAATGAATGAATGGGGTAGAATCACTGATAGAAGAACGTTTCAGTGAATTCACGTATCCTCCTCGTACCGCATAAGATCATATAACATAATTATCTAAATGACATCAATACCAAATAGCTTGAATAGTGAACAAAAGCCAATCTACAATCTTGTTAAAAAATAAACAGAATTAAAACGGTTCTTTGTTACAATTAATTTTATTGTATATATCACAAGACATTAAAACAGTGTGCAATAACTACAAGCTAAATAAGAAGTAGTTAAATGTTTGTTTATCCTTATAAAAGTATTCATTGTTTATGTAAGAACTCATAAATCATTGATAAATTCATCAATTTATCCTCCTTGTATTATTATTATTATTTTTTTGATCATATAAAATAAATCCAGCTTTGGAATATATATGAAAAATGGATAAGAAATAAAATTGGATACTTTGTAAAGTTATTTAATTAAATTCAAATTGTCCCATGTCAGCAGTATATCATAAGGGTTGTTTGAAATGTTGATTTTTGGAATTTCACTTTTTTTCCCCAATTTTTTTTTCCTCTATTGAAATTATATTATTTATTCATTAAATTGTTAATATTTTATTAATACATTAAAAATAAGCTTATTGTACAATAACAAAGATGATATTTCTTCTTTCGTGCTTTACAAAGATTATTAACTAACTTCAATATTAGAAAATCGAAAAAGAGATTAAAGTGAAACTTCTAAACATGTATTAGATAATACATCCCTTCCATGTATATATATATATATATATATATATATATATATATATATATATATATATATATATATAATATAATATACGAGTTCACAGTACATTTAAACATTTTTCTTCATGTAAAGCAAATATTCAGTTGAATAATAATTAAAAATAGTGAACAAAATTGATGCATATCAGTTGTGAAGAAATCAAGGTGGAAAAATGAATGTTTCATATCCCGTAAAACTTTAACAATGGTTTGTCACACAAAAAAAGACTTATCTGTTATAATAGATGCTTCTCCTTGTTGGTTGATAGCTTGATACATCTGGTGATGAGATTAAATCATCTGTAGGTCTTGTTCTTGATACATACATGTATATTGGACCATGAGAAGTTACCTGAGCGCCAGCTTGATTATCTACTTTCAGATAAGTAACTTCATCATTTAACCCTGGACTAGATGTTGTCCTATAACTTGTCACACTACGTGGTCTGCTTCGATCGTTTGGTTCATATCGTCGTTCAATACTAACTGGTCGACTGTTACGATATACATAGACGTCTTCTGGTGAAGGCGAACGACGTACACTTGTTCTAGTCACAGGTCTAATGTACACTGGTGATGGGGATCGAACAGGCCTCTCATACGTTCTGCTGTGATCTGATGGAACAGTAATCACTGTAACTGGACCATTTCGAGGTGAAGCATTGTGATAGTATGTTGGTGATACTGAAATTTGACGGATCGCTGCAGAATCTTTTAGTAGAAAATGTGGATCTTGTTGTGCTTTAAGAATTGTATTGCGTAGTAAACCGACGTCTTCAGGTCTCTTACATTTATACGATTCATAGGAACGTCTGCCAGTTCTCTCATCTTCTATTCCTAATGTGAAACAATCGGGTCGACTTCTATGTTCATAAAAGCTGACAATTTCTCTGTAAGTTAGATCAGGTCTGTATGAACTTGAACCAGTCGATCTGCTTTTTTGGAATCTTACTCTGTCAACTAAACAGTACATTGAACCATGGGATTTTCGCCGTTTAAAGTGTTTCTCTATTAAAGTATCAGCTGCGTTTGGATCAAATGCTTCACCGTTTTTCAATAAAGTTCTTCCCATTGTACACACTTGAGCTTCCTGGAAGAGTAACTGCTTAGATTTGCTATCCACATAATGATCACCTGTTTGTGAATAATATGTTCGACTTTTTGATCGATTGCGTGATGACATTTTAAATAACTATGTATGTCAAAATGTTAACTCAAAATCTGATTTTATTCTATGTAGGATTGTTTTTGTGATTAAAATACTAAGTTAGATTTTATAGTGTTAAGCTTTTTATATCAATTGTACTCAATAGGTATTTTTAAAGCAATATGTTGTATTTAAATCATGTGTATGACCTTGATGTATTCATCAAAAGATTTTAAGGTGGGTGGAATATTACATTTTCTCAAATAAAAATACTGAAATGTGTCACTTACACAATAAATGTGGAACTGTTAACTAATACCTAAAAATCAATACTTATTTAAATCATACAATATGATTTAGTTCCGTTGATAATTATCTATTATCGTTGTATTACCCTAATAAGATAGGCATAGACAATGTATGTGAAAAATGATCGTCAGTCACATCATAATCTCAAAAAAAATAGGATATTTTAGTCAAGAGGAACCACAGTTTAGATGATAATTTTTTATTTTATTATTATACTTAACAAAGAGTTGAAAATAATGCTTTCATTAATTTCAGACTGCTGCATCAAATAGAAAACACATTCATGGAATTCCGATTAGTTAACGATATGAATATTTTAGTTAATAAATTATTCTGTCAGTTGAATAACTTTACACACGTTGTTGAAGTAACTAATTTTGTAAGTGCCTCTTGTTTTAAATTTATGTTTTGTAATTTATGTGTGCTACTTTTAAATTTAACTAATAACTAATTGGCCACTTTCGTATTTTTAAAGAAAAAAATAATGCACTTTCCTTCATTTAGCATTTCATTTTAACAGTAAATTATCGACTCTGGAATAATTTACCACGATCTGTCAATGAAATAAAATCATTTCCATTCTTTATTAGCTTCAACAACGCCTAAAACTCATCAGAATATGCCTTGAATATGCTTACAGCTATAAGTATTGTATTCTTACTTGCTTACGCCTGTTACCCCCAATGGAGCGTAGGCCGCCCACCAGGTGACCTGAGGCTATATCAGCTCCTCTCTTGGTTCTCACATCCTCCATTGTCCTTCTGAACGTTTTGTTGATACAAATATGGTCAATTTGGTTTTGAGTAGTGTGGTCCGATGAAGTCCATGTGGCTTTGTGTATCCCCTTGTGCGGGAATACTGTGCCGCCAATGACCAATTTGTTGAAGGCACATAGGCTTGCAAATCTCTCACCATTTTCGTTCCTTTCTACCAGTCCATGTCATCCCATGATGTCTCCAGTGTTGTCCATGCTAACCTTGGCATTCAGGTCTCCCATAAGAATCGTCAAATCCTTTGGTGAACATTTCTCGACGATTGACTGCAGCCTTTCGTAGAATTGATCTTTAACGTCATCATTGTAGTCATAGTCAACCCTATGTCCAACCCAGCTCTTTCATTTGGGGTTGGGACCGGCAGTAGCCCCTTAGGTTCTACCAGCGGAGTTGTATTGTATTGTATTCATTCTCCCTTAATTAGATAAACAATATGCAAAACTGCATCAGTAAAGAGCTCAGTCAAGTGGCCCAGTAGTGGAGTAGAACACTGACAAATGTGGATAAATCTGCATTGTTAACCATTTACTCAGCTTAGGCTTAATCATAAATGGTAGGGTGTTATCAAAATCTCCTAGAGTAGAGGATATCGGACTCAAACATTCCCATAATTTGCACTTCTCAGAATCGGTATCTAAACAGACCTCCAAGTCTCAACAATTTCCGGGTTGAATAACTCATTATCTCTATAACAATGAATCACGAATTTTAATGCATATATTGTGTTCTAAAACTTCTAGAACACTGCATCTTCAATCTTAGATGTGTTTGTTTAAAAGAAAAATTAAGGCCGAAATCCCTCCAGAGACGGTTTACACTACTCATTCTTGGAGCTGATTTTACTTATAAATACATACATAATAATAATAAATTTGGACTCAACCTTAAACTGGAGAGGAGACCTAAGGTCAACCTAGTCATTTTCTTTGAAACCTAAGCTATGTTTTACATTCAATGAAGCTATTGATTGGATAAGTAGAAACTCCAAACTATAGTTTTCGTAACTCATTGTCACTAGTGATAAAATTTCATTCTAAATCTCCTCTTTATATTAATTATTTTGCCAGTACGTTTTCAGGATTACAGTAATTATAGTACAATCTATCCATCAAATAAAATCATTTCAATTCTTTATTTGCTGTATCGACGCCTACTGCTTCTCAGCTGTAAGTATATTCCATTCCGTAAGTGAGAATATAGGAAATGAAAATGTTGGATCGTTTTATTACTTAGCCTATTAATTAGTCTACTTATTTGCAGATACTTCACATTTACACTGTCCACTGTAAATTTAACTAACTTGAATAGTATCTAACTTGCACATTAAAGCATAAAATAATCTTGTACATAAAACATGTCAGACTTGACACACATGACCAACCTATCATGGCGAACTCTCATCGGAATTCATTACTTAAAGCGGTGTTCGTCAAAGCTGTCCATTTAGTCCTTTCTTGTTTAACTTTGTCGTAGACGTGCCTCTAGAGTTAACTTTATCTTCGTCTGAATATTCAGGGGCGGAGACTCTATTAGGAGATATGTTTGTTGACTTAAAGTGAAGACACATGTGTGAAGACTTAAAGTGGTGAAGACACGTGTTACGTATGCCCAACCGCTGACGGCCTCAATAAGCGATGTTTTGTGATGTAGGGGTAGGTTGGAAGAAATCTAGGGCCGGCCAGACCAAAACATGACAGAAATCCATGAAGTCACTGACAGCTGGAGTGAGTCGTGTTAGTAGATGTTGGCTACCTGGTTTAAGTCCGCTAGATGATAGTAATTGATGGTTAGAAACATTAAACGACGTGACTCTAAATAAGTTTCAATGGTGCAGGTGCATCCACTCTTTTTGTTTTATCAAATCCTAATCCTCTTGATTTACATCACCTTTATCTTGATCTTTTTAAGTTTGCTTCACCAGATTATACTACTTGAATAATATCTTCGAACCCTAATCTCTCTAATGACTGCTAATACTGTTACTACCCATACGATTGTGGGACTTGAATTGACAGTTCGATCTCTCTGTGCTAATGCGGTATGGCATCCTGAACGTATTTACGTATGTACCAAGTTCTAAGTTTTAACTAAATGATTGTCTGACCTATCACTGTAATAACTGCTTTCATTGTTCTTTGCTCTCTGTTTCCATTTTATTTTCTCTAGTTGTAGATGATTTTAATTAATGCATTATGCCAATGTAAAGGATAATTAATAAATCATCCATACTGTTTGCTTCAAACGCCATTAGGATATGTATCAATCTATGGAGTCCAGAATGTCACTGGTTGGTACAGAGGGGGGAGACCAGTTCATTTGTTTTGTCAGTTTTGAATCTTCCCAACTGATCAGTCTCGTGGTAATAATGCATGTAACTTAAAGACAATAACAAGGTAATCCGCTTACGATTCATATATGCCTAATGAGATTAATCTATTGCAGTCCTAAACATCATTGGAAAGATCTAATCGAGAGAGTAATTCAATATTTTATATTGCATAAGTAGTTAAATTAGATGAGAAAGAACGGCATTACAGATAAAGTGAGTCACGCTTTTTCTTAACTATACCCATACATGCGTGAGTGCACAAAGGTAAGTTCCTTCAAGTATGAAAAATATAACTAGCCATTTTAGAGTAGATGGATTAGCAGATCACCAGCTGAAAGCCTTGGACGACCGCTTCATCTTACTAAAGAAATCTTCAGCAGTGCATACCCACGAACCCTCAAGTAGTAGTTGAGCCCAGGACCTTCAGTCTTGTGCATGAATGCCTGACCTTCGGACAACTAAGCTGGCATCCAATAGTGTTAATTTCTCAACTGAATCAATCTTTGATACTAAATGATGATCACTGATTGAACATAAACTGACTTATTGTCGTAAGAGTTGAGCAGCAAGGAGTAACCAAACGCGATCTAGTTGAGAGGCTTGACGGATTACCTCAAGCAAAGATTTTATGTAAGGTCAGTATAAATGTTGAAGATTCATTAAAGTATGAATTCCAAGGATTTATTTACTAATATCAGTTATTTCTCTGCCAAGTTTCGAATACACACTAAAAACGAATTAAAATATAACTGATATCAAAGATAACTGTTCCCATCAAAGAGAAGGAAATCCTTAGTGTATTGATTTGTATAAAATACATTACATTACACACACTAAGAAATAAAATATTTCTTCGAAGGGTAACTAACTGTCTTCTTACTGAAACTGCCGACAAAAATCTAATTCGTCAAATTTATTTTTCATTATTCTGATCAACATGTCAAAATACGTATCATAAATGTTGATCATGTAAAAAGAAACAGCCGAAGTTCACGTATTAGACCTTTTAAGAGTATAATCTTACAAGATTAGCAAAAGATTTTTTTGAAATTAATCTATGGCACTTCTAATGTGTTAATATGCAGATGCTTGTTAACTTTTGTGAAAATGCAAAGTATCGAAACTGATATTCAATAAAAAGTGGTTTTTCGCAAACACACAGTTTCTGATAGTGAAAATATTAAAATCCAGGTACCTCTCAACAAGATTAAAGATTTCATTGCAACTTTGTTCATTACTTTATGAAAGATTGAAGGAACAACGACATTAGAGATGAAAACACATCCCCATTAATATTGCTGCCACAAATTTTACAACTAATCTGTACACTTTCTCCCATCCTCTGTAATATGTGTACAATATTAATTTTCCAAAATATGAAAAAAGTTATTGAGATTTAAATAAAAACAATCACTTACAACTAGTGAATATAATGATATGTTTCGAATGAAAAAAAGCAAACATTTTAGATCTCATCTAATTATTCATCTCTTATTCATAATGAAGTGAAGGAGAACAGAGTTAATTGGTAAAATAGGAAAACCATATCGTAAATCGTTAATTTGCAAAATATCAATCCATTATATCGAACTGGACTGTTCTTGTTGCAAACATCAATCCATTGT